AAAAGATCTCTGGAATTTGTAAACATTACTGCCTTTTAAACAAGGCACAATATCAATAGACTCAAACAAGGAACATTGCATCATTATATCCTGTTTTCTGCACATTAATACAACCAGTTTTGAGGCAGCAAGACCTCTGAAATTTGCAGAGCCACGTCACAGTTCATGACAAATTGCATTGCCAACCATCTTGTTTTCAGGCTCCAGACAGTACAAGTAGTAGTTTTTACCAGGCTGTACTGTAGTGATGTAATTAGTTATATGTATTGGAACCTTATGTGCAGAAAGTAGACTGATTTTAATCACTGTGCCCTAAGAATTGCAGTGGAGGTTTTATAAATCAGTGGTTCTGATAGCTGCCTTGCATGGTTGCTTCCTCAGTATTATTTTAATCATTCTGTGTCTGAGGGGAGGATTAAAATTACCTGGTTAAAAATCAGATGAAGATAAAATATTTTTTGAGGTAGCTTCTTGTTCTTATCACACAACAAATTGACCTCCAAAAGCATGCCAAGCAAAAAGGAGATGACATGGACCACATTGAAAACCATTTAGTGATACTCTATCATCTCTAGACTCCTGGGAGTTTGTTGAGAGACCAATGAAAATCAGGGGCATAAATGAATGCAATATTGAATTTACAGTATTCTCTCAGGTACTAATTATTTCATCATGTAATTTCTTAGGTATTAGTGAAACTAATTGACCATATTGAGAAAATTTTTGAAGGTTTTTGAGCAACTGAAAAAATGCTAGAACTGAGCAGGTGAAAACTGAAGAAGAAAAAGTAAATCTGGTATTAATTTTGTAAAAAATTTTATGACTGCAGATAGTGAAACAGTATATTTGGTGTAATGGTGGATTTGTTTCTTCTGTCTTAAGACCACAATCTTTTAAATGTTCCTTTAGTATGCTGGCTAAAGTTCTTGGTGCTGAGTTGAGTTACAGACTAGAGTTTTTATTTCTCTATTAGATCATACCCTTCCTTTGACATATAGTGACAGTCTGGCTCTAGGAAGGCCAATTTAAGTTTTCTGTAGAAAATATAATAACTACTAGCATGAAGACTTGGAAAGCCCTCCAGGAATACAGGCACATTCATTTTCTTCATTTCCATTGACAGCTGTGTAGCCAAATGTAGTAGTAACCTTTGAAAATAGCATCCAAAGTGTTGGTTTTGTGGTTGCTGAAGTCCCAGCTATGCACAGGGAAGATGTGAGTCATTCCTTAGTGATGCTTGACAGTTTCACTGCCTGATGGCTTCAGGCCATCCTTTTGCACTAGTGGTGGTCTGTGAAGGTAAATGCCCCTCCTCCACCAAGCCCTACTTTAAGGAGTGTTTGTTTCTCTTAGAGTATGAGATGATATTTGGAGAGACTCAGCTGACATAAATGAGTTCCTCCTGCTTGTCTCTAGTTTTGTCTAGTTGTACTGGGGTGAAGGAAAGGACTGCTTATTCTAATCCAGAACTGCCTATTCCTGGGAATAAAGTGTAATTATGCTTAATATGAGAAAATACATTCTGTATATGGTACAGAATTATGTACCAGTGCATAATGGATACACATGGATTTTCGCGTATGATTTCATATCTCAAAGTGTGTTACTCTCTACATTACAGTTTAAAGTTCTGAGTAGCAAGTTCTCCCATTTTTGTAGAGATTGTAAAGCTTTGAATAGATTATTAAAAAGACAGAGGAATTGAAAAACAAAATAAAACAAGGTGGTCTTAAAAAGTGAGAAATTCCAGAACTTGTAAAAAGGGGTGGCTCTTGAATACAGCCTGTATACAACGTATTGCTGCAGAAGGTTAAGGCCAAGAATACAGCAAACTTGAAAAATCAATCAAATACTAACAGAGTTATTGCTGATATCCCGTGTTATAATAATTAATTATATCAAAGTTTGGAACAGAGATTGTGTTTTGAGCTTTGAGGCATGCAGTAATCTGTCTGACAGATACCTAGATGAAATTTGAGGAAAGATGATGTCATGTCTACCTTGTACAGGCCCTTATGCTACAGTCTAATCTTACTGTGCTGGCAGTATACAAAAGTATTTGAGTATGCTATCTGATAGTTTGTATCAACTGTTGTTTACAAAGTCCTTTAAAATGTACATCCCTATCAACAAAAGTGATAACTATCTAAAACACTATGTTTAACCAAATTAACATGGGAGTAAAGGTAGCGTGGTAGGGTATCTCTGGAGTTCCATAAGAGTCAGTGTTACTGGCCAATATAAGTGTCCCGTCTCAACACTACCCTGGGCGTACAAACTGAGCATTTTTGTATGTTAAGGTCCATCGTGGTTTTTAAACATACAGTTATTTTTCAGTACAAGTTTTGCTGCTTAGTGTCATTGCTTTGCTGGTAAAGCGATGTGTCACACATCTAGATGAGGCTTTATGTAACTGTTTTGCTTTTCCCAAATAAAGCCACATCTCAACTAGTGTGGATTCTGCTGTGGAGTAGTCTAGGTGCCACTGGAAATAAAAGAAAAATTAGCCTGCAGTTTCAGTACACTATCTTAATATATCTAATCAGGAAAAATGAATCCCAAGACAATTCTTGTGTTTTCTATCCACCTTATGACTGGGAAAAAGAGTAAAAGAAAATACACACAATAATGTGATTTCTAATCTATTCTATCTCTAACTCCATTCCATTCCATTCCATTTGTATCTATTTAGATGCAGGGGCCTTGCAACTGGTTTTTAGTGTAACTTTATGAACATAGAGGATAATAAGCACTATTATGTTATAGCCTTCTGGAAGGATGCAGCATGATGTAGCTGTTTCCATTAGACATGTAACACCAACATGACACGTGCACACTTCTGCAAATAAACAGAACTATATCTAATTCTGGGTGGGAACCAGAGCCAGTACCAGAGGAATTAAACTTCAGTTGCTTATCCTATAAATAAACACATTGCAGGAAGAAGTTGTCTCAAAACTTAACAGCTATTTAAAGGAGAGCTCTAAGGGACAAAAGTTGTTTTTATTTTTGCTTGCATGAGAGGTTTCACAAGAAATGATGTGTTAGTAGGAACTGTGCCAGTTTGCACAATGAAATGCTAATCTATCATGCAGATCTCCTCCCAAGTGGTAAGGTTAAGAACAGTGGGGACCTTTATTCTCCTTGCATATTCAGGTCTGGCAAGAGTAATTGGAATAGTATTTGGAGGTGTTGTGGAAATGTAACTTTATAAAGTAAATTATCTCATTACTTCTCCCCTTGTTCCCTAACTAGCATAATTAATATCCAAATGTTCCCTAAGATTAGTCTTATTTCCTGCTCAGCTAGTTGACAGACACTGGTGAGATCTGAATTCACAGCAGGCTAGAGCAGATGGCTACCTTCGCTAACAGATTACTGCATCAAGGCATGCAAACTCTCCAGCTCTGTCTCAATAAACTTCAACACATGATTTATAAAGTGAACATAATAGAAGAAATCCATGATGCCTATAATGGGAATCATATTACCCCACTACTTAAAACACTGTGAGAATTGCCTGAGCAGTTATTGTATACTTGTGCTGATCTTCAAATCTTATTAGGCAGCAAAGGATTGTTGGGAAAATTATTCATCCTCTTTTCTATCTTGCTTCCACTCCCTTATTTTTTATTGAACTAATTTAAGGGAGATTTCCAGTACATCTAGCTTCTGTTGAACCTCCAGCAAACATATGAATGTGTTCACAGTAATTTGATGGTTATTTATTTGTTTTGGATATTTTACATAAAGAAAAATGTCTATACCAGCAAGTTCATGATGAAACTGCTGTACTCTCAACTAAAAACACAACCAAGCAGAGCTGTTGTTTCAGAAAAAGAAAAGTCATTGCGAAATCATGCATAAATGTCCTGCACAGCAGATAAGCTTGATTATTTGAGATGATAAATTGCAAATAAAATTTGCCTAAAACAGTTGATGGGAAATGCCTCATAAAGGAGACCAAGACTCTTTAGAGTGTAACAGCTTCAAATTATGACATAGTATCTTTTAAGAAAGATATTATTTCTAGAATGGTGCATAATTATTTGTTACATAAATAAATACAAAATGTTTCTCTGTGCCTGAAATCTACTGATATTACTAGTATTATTTTGGAGAGGCTCATTCTATAATTCCTCATGTTTTTGTAAACATTCAGCATAAATTTACTCTCTGGGAAGTGTCCATTGCTTTGGGTGCCTTAGAACAAGGCACAGAGTGATTTATAGCTCCGTAACATGGAGGGGGAGCTCTTATTCTCGTAAAATCTAGTCTTGTTTCCTGATGAGTGCTACCATTTCACTGTTTTTCTGCTTTCCTGAGAGCAATAGAAAAATCGGTTGAGATGCCTTAAGTAGAACTCTGTGGAATTGCTAACCCTCTGTTCTGTCCTTTCCTTTCTCTAGTTCAATCTGTTAAGTTCTCTGTTTGCCTCCTTTTGAGCTTAAGATCTAGGTTTTGCCCTGCTCTCCCTGAGCTATGTCTCTGTATGAGAGAGAGGGATGCAGCCTCTTGTGGGAAACTGGGAGCTAATGGGATTTTTCTGTTAGTGTTGTGGACAATAGTGGAAATACCCCAGTGTCAGTGGAATCTAGAGGTTGCTTTGTAGCTGTTATAAAGAGACAGATACAATTTCCGGTTTTAAAGAGTAAAGGAAGAGGAGTTTTTCTCATTTTGAAGTAAAAAACTGAAGTTAGGATAATTTCTGTTTGTGCACCTGACATATATTCCTATATAATTAACTAGTTAATGTATTTCCACATGCAGTAATATTTTCTTAGGATGTGAATCAGCGGAAGTGCAGAAAATACATAGCAGCTAAAGATTGCAGTTTTTATTTCCAAAGATGCTGTTTGTACTGCCTGACTGAATAGTACTGCCTACAGTGAATACTTCATGTAGTGTTTGGATTTACACGGTTTGCTTAGAGTTGCATGGTGTCTATTCTGTCAAATACAAGTACATGTTGGGTTATTGTGTTGTTGTTTCTATCACAGACTTGCCCTCAGCAAACTTGAGCAATTACAACATCACCGTGGTGGAAGGAAAAAGCATCACTTTGTACTGTGATACTACTGGCGGGCCACCCCCAAATGTGTCCTGGGTGGTAACTAATCTTGTTTCAAACCACGAGGTAAGGTTTATATTCAAACATGTGACAATTCAGGTGACACCTGCTGGAGGATTGAATGAAGGTGCATGTACAGCTCTAGTTAATTTTTTATTAAGAGATTAAATAGAAGTTTGATGTTGGGATTACATTTATCTTCCAGTTACTTTCAGTCTAGGGAGACTGCAGCAGTGGTTTTGGGGAATGGCAGATATTGGTTTCTCAAGATTTCATTTGCACTCTAGTTTTTTGGATGTTCACTTGTAAATGAGAGTAATGTAAATTTTTTGAAGTAATGTGAATTGGAATACTGAAACACAAGGGTTTTCTTACTATCACTGATAACAGAGAGCAAATTCAATCTATATGGATTGTGAAAAAAAACTTTGCATCTGTAATTTTCTTATATTTTCATTTCATAATTTAGAGCATTGAAATTTTATTGTAAATATTTTATGGCTTGCTTAATTTTTCTTTAACACACTTAGCAGCAACAGAAAACCTTGAAATTTAAGATTTTACTTAAAAGACTGCCAGGTTGGTTTTGTTCTGATTTGTTTTTTTAAAAGATGTATGATTATCTTTCCTTATTGAAATCATCTAAGTGGGGTAATTTTGTTTTCTGGGCTGGTTATATATTTTGTTTTTGTAGACTATCTGTTGCTTACAATAGGAAAAACCCATGTTTATTATGATTTTGTGGTATTTGCTTTCCTATATTCATGATGCACACTGCCTAAAGCTTCTTGGTCTGCACAAGGTGTGGGAAGTGTAGTTCCAAAACTCTTTCTGCAGTGAGGAAGAATCTCGAAGTTTTTATATTTTCTTTCCAAAGTTCATTATATCAGGGTTGTATAGAATTTAAGTAGTCTGTCTTTCCTTCCAGCTTTCCTAAGTTAGAGCTCTTCTGAGCTGCAGTTGTATTTTTAAATTTTTCTCCGATCTGTAAAAATCCCCAAAGGCATCAAGGCATCAGTCATCATCGAGAACAAGAAATTAAAACAGTTTGGGAGACCTCTGCCAAGAAAGTGCTCTTTTTAAAATTTTTTGAAAAATTTTAATTCTAGGAGCCAAAACAAATGTGGGACTCTGTTCAAAAAGTGAGATCACCTAATTTTTTAAACCTTCCTATCTTTGAAATGCCATGGTCAGTTTGCTTCAAGTTTTCCATGAGTATTCCATCCTGGCATAACTTCATCATGCTATCGTAGAGGGGCTTACAATACTGAGTGGCTACAACCTTAGCCATGGAGCACAGCAGTCTTTTCAGTTGCAGAAAAACATGAGCCTTTTAGACCTTATTTGCCATTCCCAGCTAACCTTTTCTATGAGTTGCTTTTGGTTTCTAAGCTAACTTTTATGTCCTGAGTTTCTGTGTTGATGAATAGTTTGACTGATGCTGTTTAGATTTTTCCTCTAGATTTCAATCCCGAGCCTGTGTTTCAGCCCCTCTGCTTTCAGTCCAGCTTTGAGCACTGCTAAGCTCTGAGAATTGCAAAATAGGAAAATATGCGAAGGGGTGTTTGCTTTTCCAGCTGCCTCCTCTGCTGTCACACTGAGATTGAAGGGGCATTGAACTCAAGTGGAGTTAGGGTGTCATTTCAAGGTTCAAAATTCTGTTTGCACAGGACTGTATGCAGGAGTGTTCTCACATATTCCTGTTGACTGCCACCTAAAGTTGCTGTGGTTTTACAATTTTAGTGGGTTACTTGTTCGTGTTGTCTGTAGCACTGACAGTGTACCTCAAAAGTAGTTTTAAAAATGATCACAATTATTATTTATTTTCGGAGTGTGCCTTGGTTCCTTTCCAATTTAATAAAATAATCTACCTCTTTATGAAAAATTCAAGTATGGAAATAATAATTGGAGATCATATGAAGGACCTGATTTATTAATATCAGAGTAACAACTAGCTTTGCTGGTGCTTTTTGTGTGGGGGGTGTAATTAAGCCATATTTGCTTAACCAGTGTGACATAGCTGCATAGTCAGTATGTTATTTAAGGCTGTAGATAGACATAGAGCTTTCTAAAAGTCATAAGAATCAGGATTTTTTAAAATCTTCGTTCTTACCTTGATTAGCTTGTTCTTAAACACATAAAATATTTAGGCAAAAGCTTAGGTAGTAGAAGCTAGGCAGTTTCTTGTGGAAGGCTTCTTGAGAAAATAAAGCCTTCAAGTGAAATTTGGTTAAGAAGGAGATAGAAAACATGTCAAGATACAGTAGGGCTCAGAAGGTAGCAGTGGAAGAGATGTCATGCATAATTTCAAAGAAAAGAGAGAAAAGGATGAGTAAATCAAGGATTGAACAGAATATAGGCAGGAAGAAAATGTTCTAGAGAACAGGCAGAGATAGACGGCAAAAATCAGTCATGAAGTAGGGGAGAAGGAAGACCAAGGGTTTATGATTAGAGGAAAAAAAACAGTTGTGTAGAGGGGATAAAGGGGTAAAAAAAAAAGGCACAGACTGAAAGTGACAGGGAAGAAACACGGTTGGAGTACAATGTTTGTAGCAGGACTTTTCGGCTTTGAATCCGCGGCCACTGACTGTTAGAATTGGTTCTGTAGATGTTTCTGTTTGGATGAGACTCTAAAATAAGGCTTTGATTAATTGTGGACAGATACAGCTGAAAGGAAGGGAAAATGAAAAATTCCATTAAGCTGTGGCCAGTAATTCCCTCCCTCTCCTTTTTTCTTGATGCAGTGGTTGACACATATATGTTTTTCTGATCATTTTTAGAGTGACACAAATAAGAACCCTGCCTCTCTCACCATCAAGAATGTTTCATCAATGGACAGTGGACTGGAGATTTCCTGTGTAGCAGAGAATATTGTGGGAGAGGACCAAGTCTCTGCTGAGCTTACAGTATTCTGTACGTATGTGGGCCTCCATACAGACCTGGAGGACAAACTGCATTGGCAGGAACTGTTTCGGGTATTTTTTGGACCTTCAGGCTGTTGAAATGAAAACCCTTAAGGCGTGTGAACTGTCTACTGCTAGGAGTAGCCCAGTCAGCCATTGTTGCATTTATTTTTTTCAGCTCTGTATTATGCAAAAAATGTATTTCTGACTGCTTTGTCTTCCAGTTAAAAGAATCTGTAAGTATAGGTCTGAAATCCTGAATACTGAATGGCACTGTCAGTGTGAGAAGGTTTGTAATGGTGTGTATGTACATGCACAGTGTCTTGGGAATTGCAAAGTGTGAATGCATCAAAAGGCTAGTAGAATTATACTACTCTAATACTACACTACACATTTATGTTCTTACTACCTAAAACTACAACTGCTTTGTTCAATGTTTGTATGGCCAGATGTAAATTTATTAATCATAGCTTTGAATAGTACACTTATTTCTGAGGCCCAAGGAAGTGACAAGGGGCATATAGTGTAGAGAAGCACTGGTTTCTTAGGTCTAAGTTCCAGGCTGAATTCATTTTACATGAACCTATACAGCATATTTTCACAAGTTGCAACCCTCTGTTTAACTGAAGATGGGAATGGAACACTTTGTTAGATGGCAAATTTTGCTCAGCATGTGCTTATGACAGAGTAAACTAGAAAAAACAATATAGATGTAGATTTGTAGGTTTAAATTATATATGTAATAACTATGGGAATGAACATAAACTAGAAATGTTTGAAGAGTGTAAATGAGATTCTGCGCTTGGCACTGTTATGAGTGATAAAAGGAGGTATAACTAGAAGAAATTCGATGTAGTTAAGAATAAATATAAAGGAAAATAATAGGCAAGGTGTTGGAATAATCTCTTGAGGAATACAGAAGAGGTCTGTAAACATGAGGCATTTAGCAGGTTTGAACAAGGATGAGAATATGTATAATAGAGAATTATTTTTCCCTGACAGAAGAATCTAGAGAATTAAGTAATCTGTTTTGTCTTTGATTCTGTTAAGATAATAATCTGTAAATTTGGATTCCTAGCTGAGTGTCTTTCCAGTAATAGTTGCTTTTGGCCAATTTTAAATATTTTTAAAACTATTGTCTTCCTTCAGCACAATTGTGCACCATTTTTTCAGCAAAGTAAAGCTAAAATGTCTCTCTCTTTCTAAGCAATCCAGTAACTGAAGTTCCTACATCTTACACGTTTTAAGTGATTTAACACATTTTCAGTCTTTGAAACTAGTTTGTTTTATTTCTTTCTAAAGAGCGGCTTCAGTTCAGTTCAGCATAATACTCTAGACAGAGCAGGTATGTTCCTGTGTGAGTATCCTTTAAATAGGTATCGTTCCATTTGTAACATCCTTTTGTACTGATGAATGAAAAGTACTTCCATGAGAACTTGGGAGGGAGGGAGGGAGATTGGGAAGGGAGGAAGGACATGTTCAGAATATTCTGATGTTCTTCACTCTTTTTTCCAATATAGTTGCACCAAATATCACATTTATTGAGTCTCCGACCCCCGACCACCACTGGTGTATTCCATTCACTGTGAAAGGGAATCCTAAGCCCACATTGCAGTGGTTCTATGAAGGAGCTGTACTGAATGAGTCTGAATACATCTGTACTAAAATACACGTTATCAATCAAAGTGAATACCATGGCTGCCTTCAGCTGGACAATCCTACACACCTGAATAATGGTGCTTATACCTTACTGGCAAAGAATGATTATGGAGAGGATGAAAAACGAGTTGATGCTCATTTCATGGCAGAGCCTGGAGATGGTGAGTGTAGTTTGTTTTTTTTTTTTTATACTAGTAATTGCAAATTGATGAAAGTTATGAAATAGTGCTTTTGGCCAGTTTAACTATTTTGGAGAAAGGGTCTTTTAGAACTTTTTTTCTCTGAATGAATGTCTTCAATATTACTTGTAAAATAATGTTTTTCTTTAGCATTTTCTTCTTGTTTATTGATTCTGAAGTAAGGTTATGCCAGTGCTCTGTAAATCTTCCTTTTGAGTAACCATCTTCCCTGCCAGCCAAGGCTAATGAAGAGTTGTTATTTCTGAAGTTTTTCCAAGTCTCAGATCTTATCCTGAAAAACACTGAGTGCCAATTCAGCCCCTCTGTAACTTGCTGTACTGCATATGAATGGAATTAGGCAGTGTGTTCAAGGATACAGAGGATGCTTGTGGGGCATCTAGTGCCCTGCTGCACAACTGATAGTGCAGTCAAGTGAGTTCATGATAATATGTTGATTTTAGGACACCAGAAGGAACTGGAGAGAAAACAAGTAACCCAGAGGCAGGATAGATAAGGCCTTAAGGTCTCAGATCTTAACAGGGATTTTTGATGTGCAATTGCCATTTGTCTAGGTGACGTCTTGGCACCTACATTGCTAGGAGTATCAGTGTTCAAGATAGTTGCACCTTCAGTTGCTCTCAAGATTCCCCCTAGCCCTTTCTAAATACTATGTGAGCAGGCTCAAGATGGACTAGCTCATTGAATTGCAGGGACTACTGTAAGTGATTGATGTTCACTGTGGTTTGATCTTTTCCCACATCTTCAAAACCATATATGAAGTGGCTGTAATAACAGTCACTCTACATGCAGGCATACTGGAGCATGTGGAAGAAAACTCTGAGTGGACTTTGCACATTTGGAATAGAAGTAGCAGTTGTGATCTTGTGCAGATAATTGCACAGTTGTATCTCAAAATATGAGACTGTATGTATCTTTGGCTTTTTGACCATGTGATACAAATAGTTGCCTTCTTTTTCTTTAAACAGCAGTGCCCTGTTATGTTATCTGATGGAAAAGAAAGTAGTGAATAGTTAAATTATCTTCCTACATCTCAGGCCACTGACCATAAAAATATGGTCAGTATTTCACTTTTTCCCTTTCAGCTCAGTTTGCTATAGGGAGAGAGAAGATAGGTCTTTTGCTTTCCCGTCCTTAGGAGAAGATGAAGACCTGATAAAACCTGGCTTTATTTTCTCCTGCTGTGCTCACTGCTCCTCTCTTTTTTCTCTGGAGTTCTTCCTCAAAGAGACTCATTACAGAAACATGCCATGGTTTCAGCTGCTGGTGTCCCCTAATACTGCATTTTAATTGTTCAGCAAAATAGTTCATGTCATGGATGTTCTGTGTACAGTGGAAGTTCTCTTTCACTCTGATTATTTAATATGAACCCAGCTTAATTTTCTAAGAGTATCAGCTACCTCTAATACATTAAGTGATTTTATCTTTTTTTTTGGTCTTGGATGCAAGTCCCCTTTCCTTTCCCGTTTTTTCTTTATGCTTCTGTCCACTCTAAATAGAATTGTAACTATCCTCTAACTTAGAAAGAAAACATGATTTATTTGTTCCATCCCTTTTATATTCCTATAAGAATGTAAGTCTACCAATGTAAACTGTGCTGTGTTCTTTAAGAATTTTCCAAGATCTGTAGTAAAGTAAGCCTCACAAAAAGAGTATAGAGGAAATGGGACTGTGTATAGACAGGATGTAACTGCATTAGAAATTAGATCATGCATAGTGGATGGCACCAAACCAGTCTTAAAAATTAACAACAGGGGAAATGGCTCATCTACGTAGCCTCCTCAGTACTGTTTTTACTTTCCTCCTGCAAGAATCATGGAACTGAGCTTTAGAAAACATCACAACATTGTTGTTTCCTCCACTGAAGCTCACATAAGAGCAAATGCATTGTATTACAATTTTTGTTCTATACTATTGCTATTTAAAGCACTGTCAGCTTTTTCAAATCCTTAAAAGGCTTTTTCAGTGCTGTCGTTACTGTGTAGTTTCTTCTTTTGGCCCACATATTGCACACTGAAGCACAAAGATTACGGCCCACACTCTGGTATTATGTTAATTTTCATATTTTCATGACTGAATTAAATACCAGTCCTGATGTTTCATGGGGTGGGGTACACCTACTGAGATTTAAACTGATTCTCTGGTTATTGCATCACTTTAGCAAATGCTCTGAAGATAAAAAAAAAATCCCCTCACCTGTAATCCACATGCTCATCCAAAGTAAACGTGACAAGTCTGAAGCATGCTCTACATCAATAGTGTAATAGTCCACTTTCAGAGTTGGATCAAACACAATGAAGACGTAATTTGTGCTAAGATGCTCTTAACTTTCAGCATGCTTCTTGAATAACTGTTTTTCACAGGTTTGAGGATGTAGGCATAAAAGAGAGGACAAAATGTACCATATTGGGATTTTGATTGTGCTAATGATAGTTAATGTTGTAAATTAAGAATTTGTTTTGAATGTGAAGACCTGGAAGAATGCATTTCATATCTTACTAGCTGAATTTTTACCTATCTTAAGTCTGCTAAAGTTCTTGTTTTCCAGCTCTTGCTGAGAGTGACTTGATTATTTGAGACTAATTGCTGTGAACAGTAAGCATGAAATGGTCATGGTTTATTCTGGACACTGTTCTCATAGTTAATCCAAAATGGCTAGTGAAGGTGGGAGAGATTTTTACTACTAATTGATATTTTTAATTAAACATATTCACCTGCTGATTCTCTATGTTAAAATTCAGCTGAAAGAGCCCAAGACACATATATCTTGTCAAACTAAAATATGCTAAATATGCCTTAGAAGCAGCATATTGCTTGTGCAGCATAACATGTGCTTTGCAGAAGTATGTTTTTGGATTGAGTCTTTTGCTGATGCTTTATTTTGAAAATGCCAAATTTATAAAGAAAGAAGCAAACAATCCAAGTGTAGTTGATGTAGTTTGTAAAGATGAGTGAATAGGATAAGGCTTTTGATAGCTCATTTACTCAACAACCTCTTCTAATGGGGGCCAAAACAATGGCGCCATTCTGTCTGTACTTGGCCTTGAAAATAAATGTGTGTAAATGTGTGAAAGGATTGCGGTGAAGTTTAATGTTAAAATAACCTCAACTGATGATTAAGTTGACATGTTTTTATGTGCTAAACAGAAAAAGTAATACTAAATAGAAATTTGGCGTTGTCTGTCCAGCATCTTGATTTTTGTAGCTTTATTTGAAGTGTTTAGTTATATAAAAGATATTTTAATGGAATTGATGACTTCTTATTTCATATGTCTGGGAAGATTTAATGGTTATACTCATCTTCTTAGCTTATCCCAATTCCAGTAAACAGAAACAAAAATGTTGACATTTAATTCATAAGGGACTGGGAGTTTTTTTGTTGTTTGGGCTTTTATTTCTACTTCAGATTACAGAAGGTGAGTTAGAAATACAGTTTTTCAGCACTTGAATTTTCTACACTCGGAAAACTGAATCCATGAACTTTTGTGGACAAAAGTGTCTGGTCAGATTACTTGAGGATAAATAGTTAGTCTTTCTTCACTGGTCATTTATTTCTGCCAATTGACATGACAGTTCTCATGGGATTTATTGACATGTATCCCTAGATACTGGAATATTGTCAAGGGTATTTTAAAATATGCCTAATTTTCTGCTGCCGTTCTACAAATATGTTGTAATTGGTATTTTCAGCACAGATTCTTGTGCTGTTAACAATGGTGTTCTGCTCTTACTTCACAGTGGCATTATGCCCGTGCAATGCTTGTGCTATGGATTTACTGTATAGTATTATAAACAGAATCAAGTTCGTTGAAGTTGGATTAATCTTTAGAGATTTTAGTTATTTGTTAATTTTATTTCCAAACTTGGAAAAATAAAGAGAAAATATACAGAAGAGATAACTATAAGCCTACTACATTAGCCATGCTAGAGGTACATTATAAATCAGAATGAATGGGTATGTTCAAACACAACACAAATATCTTGCAAAACATGAATAACAGCTCACTAATTTCTGTGGCTGTTCTGTGCATTTACTCTCATATGTGCTAAACCTTACATTCATGCAGTAAGTAATCAAAAAAAGCTGCAAACAGGAACTAGTAAAATTGAGAGAAGAGTAGACTAGACAGGTATCCATTTGCTACTGTAAAGTGACACATCTGACTCTTACTGAAAGAGTTCTGTCTGGGATCAGCTATGTAGCTGGCTTCTGTGAAGCATCCTTTTATAGAGTGAATCAAGTGGTTCTGCCTAAGTAATTTCTACCTGTAGCTCTTAACTTGCCAGCTCACTGCTTAAAGTGGTTTGCTTGCACAATGATGTAATAGCATAATTTTCTTTTTTTTTAAATGGAGTAAAAATCACTCTGTGAAATCTGCTTCCACCTAAATTCAGGGAAAATGTTACCTTTCATTTATCAACAGGAATAGCTATTGTTGCACTTACTACACACACACAGACAGACACACACAGACACACACAGACAAATATATATATATGTAACTAGTGGAAACCAGGATTTTGCCTAAAGTAACTCATGCCCCTGCCAGAAGCAAAATAAGCAAAATATTAACCTGTGGATTAACTCTAAGATGGTTGTAAATGTAATTAATAAACTGCCATTATTGATGTTGATTTGCATTTATGTAGATACTTATGATTGCTGTGGCAAATAAAGTCAACTCTTAAAACTACTCCTAGAGAAATTTTTATTCTTCCACCATTTGCAATTTATTTACAAAGCTTTTCTTCCTTTTTTTTTTTTTTTCTTTCTCTCTCTCTCTTTTCCATGTACAGGTAATGGCCCAATTTTGGATCCAGACGTTTATGGTATATATTTGATTTTCTTTTCTTTTAATAATAGAAATGAAGGAACTGGAACATTAAAAGTTCAAATATTAGGCTCAGTTATATTGAAATGTCACATAGAATAATACAGCTCTAAAAGGTACTTTGTGGTTTTGGTTCTCCTGTCTTATATTTAACATATGTGATGACAATATGATGTTTTACTTACTATGCTGCTTTTGATTCACATTAGGAGAAGCATAAATCCACTGCTGCAAATGGGTGCAGTTGATCCTGTAGGACAGCTGTGTGATGTAGTTCACAGACATGAGATTTTGTGAACCTTTTGGAGGCATTTCTTGGAGGAAAGAAAGTTTGTGATTTCTCTTTATACAACTTAATTTATTTTTTCAGGGATGATTCCATACTTGTTTTGCATCCAAAAATGTACCCCTAAATCCCACTTAGAAATGAAGTTGGCACAAGTAAGTTTTCCTGTAGGCAATTTATTTTGTTCTGTCTGCTCATTTGTACCTTCCCTTAATCTCTCTTGCATAAGCAGACCATCAATTTAGTGGTAGCTGAGTGTGTGCCAGGAGATTTTGATGGCACAGTGTTCACATTATTTTTTTAGTTAGGCAAAATGTACCCAGTGAAAAATCAGTGTGCACTGAAATAGAATCTGGAGAATGAAAAGCAACAGTCTGGTTTTATAAAATATTTCTGGTATACTTCTGGTGAGTAGAAAAGTTCATCTTACCTACCCTACACAAACGGCTTGAAGCTGGATCCTGTTTAGAGTACTTTTATTTGGATGAAATATCCCATGACTCAGGTTACTTAAAGCTGATCTAAATGTTGTTGCTTTGATTACATTCCACGTCATTAAACTTTAGCAAATGTGCAATTGAAGCATCAATTTGACTTCAAATGCTTAGAAACTCCAAAGGATAGCTCCCCCTCCCTCTCTTTCCAAAAATCTTTATTTTGGAGGAGAAGGAGAAGGGAGGGATGGGAATGAGAATGTGGCGATGGTTTGCACAGTTTCTTCATGTGTTGTGTTATATGAGCTGTATGCATGAAGATTTTGATTCTGAGCTTTTTATCTAGGTCCTGATGTGTGTGTATGACTTTAGCCATGTGAGTGATGTGCTTTGACTGACTTGGGTGGGTTTCTGATGAGGTGTGTGCTTCAAGTTTTATTAGCAGATCACAGCCTGTAGGACTTGTAGTCTAGGTGAAGGCAGCCTTCCTCTATTCCTGGCCGTTCTTTCTGCTGTTTGAAACTGCTGTCCTTGTGATGTGAGGCGATTTCCAAATGTTTTTACTAAGTAATTTGAACATACAACAGAAATCAGAAGATCTGATGAGGTGACATCAGGCTGAGTGCCATAGAGTTTTCCCCTGCCTGCATGGGGCACTGCTTGCCACGAGCGGAGCAGTTGCTTGTGCCTCTTGCTCACCTCTGTGGCACCTCTGGAAATTAACTAAGAGAAATAACTCACATGGGTGTGAACAGAACACTGAGTGTAGAGCCAGCTCCTTTGGCTCTAAGTTCATATTTTCATGCCATGATGCCTCTTCTAACGTGGTTATGAACATGAGAGAGACAATCTGGCCCGTATCTGCCAGACCCCAGAATGACTGTGCAGAGTGCCCCACCCCCGGTGCTGATGTGGCTGTGCTGTTGTGTTTTTCCCATGCACCTTGCTTGTGAAATGGCAGTAAAATACTTGCCAGCATCAGCTGCTAATCACCGCAGCTGTTATTAGTCACTGGTGGCTGCATGAGGTGCAGAGCGCCAGAGAACTTGGCCCTAAAGCAATATGAGCCTTACCTAGCATGAGTCAAAAGGCGTGGCCCTGTCTGTAGGAGTGCTCACTGTCTGTCAGGATTTCTTAGTGAAATGAACAGGAATTTGTTTAATTCAAATTGTCCGGCTTTGGCTGGATAGCCGTCGCGTGTATTTTCCTTGCCTGATCCACCCATTTCCAGGGGCTTTGAAGATCTAGCAATACATCAAATGCAAATGATTCACATTTAGACAGCAAGCAATGTCAGCATACTACCAGTATACCAATGTAGCCTCCCTTAGCTCTTGCCCATTTTAATATAGAAGTGTAGAGGATTCACAGACCAGACCTGTGGTTCTCATTAGCCCTCCAGGGTGTGATTTCCAGTAGTTAGAACAGGACTGAGCATAAACAGAACCATAAAAAGGATCAGCTGTTATTTACAAGTTAAACTGGGAACAAAAAATTTCCTTCTTCAGAGTTTGTTTTACAAAGTCAGAGCAGCAAAAGCTCTAAATATTTGTTTTATGCATTAGTCTTATAAAACAATAATAAATATATGGTTGGCCAAAACCATCTTTGTGAAAATTTTCCCAGCTAATTGTAAAGGACAATTTTTTTAGGTTGAAGTACTTGTTATAAAGTAAGCTTTGCCTGCAAATAATGAAGTAGAAATCTCCTCCTCTGCTCTGGCAAAGAATGTACTCACAGTGACAGATGGTGAGCACAGAACCTTGTCCGAAAGTCCAGGCTGCTTGTGCAGGTGAGCCATTCAGGCAGTTATTGTGCTACCTGGATGAGCAAGGAATGCTGTTCATCCTCCTGTTACTGCTGCTCTAACCTTGCTTCATGATAAGCTATGCACACACAGGTGCAGTGCAGAGTTGGAGAATTCAAATGGTAAAAGATCAGGAAATTGATTTTTTTTTCTCTTGAAACTCTGTATGTTTAATACATATCTTGTCTTGAAAGCGTCCTGTCCTTTGGCATGCATAGTTTAGAGCCCAAATAGACTATGTGACTTGTTTAGACATCCTGACTGTGCTGATTGTAGCACTGGTGCCAGAGGTAGCTGACAGCTTCCTGTACCCCAAAAAAAAAAATCTGCAGCCTGCAAGTGCTTTGCAGAAAGCAAATGTGTCCTTGCATGCCTGAAGATCAAAAGCCCAGTGCAACTTCTTACTAACACTGCCAGCTGAGCTCTCCAAATTTGCCTTGGGAGCTCAAGGAGAATAGTGCTTAAGTGCAAGCCCTTCCTGTTCTTGCTCAGCTGGACCTCCATGCTCAGAAATGCTCCTGCCACTGTAGTTTGCAAGAGCTTTTTCAAATTCACATTTAAGATTTTAGGCAGTCTTATGGCACTGATTTTAATCAAAACATGTGAAGAAATACCTATTTAATTGCAAACTTAAGTGATGATGCTGGAGGTGTATTTTACAACAGGGGCAGTAATTGCCCTTTGTTTCTTTCATCTGCATATGTTACAGGTGTGATATTAAAATGTTATTGTGTTCCCAGATGTAATAATAAAATAAATGCATTTTAAAATTTTATTTTAATTCATATTTATCTTAACTTCATATATATAACATTTAATTATTTTTCTCTCATTTGAATAATTTTTTCAGGAAATTGTGGACTGTGATATTTGTGTTTTATTTTGAAGTTCTTATAAATAATTGAGCCATGATCATTCTTGGTATGGAATAGTTCTGGTTTTGCCCTTGCAGCCATGTCAGTGGAATTATTTTGATAAATCAATCAAATTTCTTCATACCATCTCAGACACTTTAATTTTTAAATGTTTATCTGTATGATAGCAATGCTAAACCTTAATCATTATGCATATAACATGTTTTGAAAAAATTATTTATTAAACAAATGAAAACAGCTATTTCATATTTAATATTATTAAGATACTTGAAACCCATCTGCCGAGTGTTTCTCAGCAAAACAAAAGTGCTCAAGCTAATTTCTAAGACTGTCCTATATTTGACCGAATACAATGCTGGTGAAGTTCAGTGTAGAGGGCAGTCTTTCATTTTTAATGTGAAGTCAGAAGCACATAAAAATAGCTCTATGGATGAAGGTCTCATTTAACTCTAGTGTTTCCAGTAGGGATACATATTATGACGTAGATTGCTTATTTTTTCACGTTTGTCAGTCAGAGCACATTTGTTCAATTACATGCCACACTGAATCCCTCCCAAAACATTCCAGTTTCTTTAGCAGTTATGAGTTGTGTCCAAAGAGCTTAAATTCCCAAAGTTGATAGCGACCTTACCATCTTACAGAGCAGAAATAATATAGAAAACCATTTCCATATCAAAGTTATGATGTTATAAAAGCAACATTTTTTCCTTTCTTAAGAGTATGAAACCACACCTAATGATCTTGGAGATGCCACAAATAACAGTAATCAAATCACTTCGACGGATGTTTCCAACAAAGAGAATGAAGATAGCATCACTGTAAGTATATGCATTGTTTGCTGGTCTGTGATCTTTCTGGACTTTTTGTCTATACAACTTACAAAATTGCAGACACTGTAATAAGACTCTGGCCTATCACTAAAATATAGCTATTATTGTGTTGTTATCGAAACTCAGGAAGCAAAAAGGATAAAAAATAAAATCAGTGCTCCCCATTCTTGTCCTTCTTCCTTTTTTTTTGGATGAGTGAATCACTTTTCAGTTCAAGTAAAACTGCTGTTTTGTGTCTTGCTTTTCTGAACAACTTGTTTGTAATTTCTGTCATTTTTTTAGCCTAAGACTTTGCATCTAATTTTTAGTCAAGGAGAGCAAATCTTCATTTACAAAATTAAGACCTCCAAGGTAATTTGAAAATATTTGGATATTTGAAGATAATATCCATCCTAGAGTCACCTCCATGTTAGAGAAGTGATGTGCTGCAGTGAATTTTTGAAATCTAACTGTATGGTTTAGACATTATTTCCTGTATGTTTTTGATTAAATGGCTTGTGATAGATTTTAGTACAAGTGTCTGAACTGATGGGCCTCCTCCTTTGCTGCCTTGCCTCTCGTGCTTTCCTGAACTGAAATGCTGGAAACTGATAGTGGGTTACAACCCTGGTTGACGTTGCAGCCTCCCTCCATCAGTGATTCTGTAAAGCAGCAGCAGAGGAGAGTGTGCAATCATGAATCGGAGAGCAGACTGTGAGTGTGGACAATGTGCTAAAAATTTGGAGGATCCAAGACAGTCTTGTCTCATCTGATAACAGTCATTGAACTGCCAAGGTGGTAAAGGTGGGACCTGTGGATGTCCTCTGGTCCAAGGTCCCCGGATTAAAGCAGGAACAGTATGGTTCTTTATGGCTGTGTCCTCGCTGGTTTTGGTATTTTCAGTGATGGAGCCTTCACAGCCACTCCAGTATTTAACCTGGAGTGTTCAACCATTCCTACAGTAAATTCTTTTTTCCTATGTACTGTTCTTGTTTTCTTGTAACATGCCACTCTGCTGGAAGGAAAAAGGGTGATGTACATTCCCTCCCACCTGCCTTGAATGTGTAGGATGTTGAAAAAGTTCTCATAAGTGTCTGAGTCTCTATTCTCTGCAGAATAGAAGAAACCTCAACAAGTGTCTATTTTCTGCACTCTGTGATCTGAGTGCAAATGTTCCCCAGTTGAAATCAATCTTTTTTCATGACTGGATTAATCTGAATGTATGCTGGTTGTTTTTGAAGACACAAAAACAAAACAAACAGGTCTGTTTGTGTCCTTTTTTTTTTTTTTAGGTGTATGTTGTGGTGGGAATTGCAGCACTGGTGTGCACTGGCTTAGTAATAACCCTCATTATTCTGAAGTTTGGAAGACACTCTAAGTTTGGGATGAAAGGTAAGCAGGGTTGGTTTTGCACCTTCTGGAATTGTTGTGGGTTGTATGAGCTGAGACTGTAGTCTGCTGAACCTGGAGCAGTCAAAATAACTACATTAAATGCCACCACATTTAATATTTTGTTTATTCATCAGGTAAGTAAGAGCAGAGGTAGATGTAGACAGAGCGTAGAGTTTTGGATCAAACAGTTCTACTTCTGTTTTCTTCTTAGGATAAATACTATTACTCTGCCTTCTGCTGCAAAGCCCCCTGAGGCAATTCCTGAAGTAAAATATTTCTCAAGTCAGTGTAGGCAGGAAGAAGATAGAGAATGAAATTTATTCTGTTTCAAGTTTGTTTGATGAGAATTGATGCTCTATGTAAGAGATACTTTAGACAACACTAGAGTGTCCGATTAAGGTGAAGGGGAAGCAATGACAAGAGCAGAAGGTGCATTTGCAGTGGATCTTGTCAGAGTGGTGCTTTCTGAGAGATGCATTTTCATGTGCTTCTTGGGGAGCAGCATCTGGAGAGACTGGCAAGTACTCATGTCCCTGTGGAAGGGAGAAATCTCAGCCCTTCATTTATTCATTTATTATACAGCCAGATGGAGTTATGTGTAACACAGAGGTTCCTGCAACAACTCCATTACTATATTTTTTACTGGTATAATCAGTCTGTGTCTAATGATGTGGGTGAAATTGTATTAAAAAAAGAAAAGGGAAATGAAAAAAAAAATAAATTAAAAAAAACAACTTGCTGTCTTGTTGAGAGACCTAGACGATGCTTTGCTGTGTGCTAAAAGAGATGAGCATTTGTTCTTAATATATGTAGATGAGGGTCTGTGGAGAACATGGTAAGTAATCTTTTGGCAGACTCCTGTTAATCTCATGTCCTTCTTCTCAAATGTGCTTATGACACAGTAACAGTTGGATATATATTTTGGCAATGCTTATATGCCCTTGATAAATGCTCTTTTCAGAGATATCTACTCTATATTTTGTGTTCCTGTGTTCTGTTTAGAGTAGATTTCCTGGAACAAATGAGATTTGAGCAGAACAGAAACATAGTTGGTGCTGATCAATTGCCGGGATGGTAGTCTTGTCTCTCCCCTCCTTCCTATACGACAGAGTCTCTGCTGTTTGGGGTAGCATTAGAAAAGAACAGTCATTGTGAAATATCCTGAATAGCAACATGAAGTCAGCAGGATTGAGCTGCAGGGTTTTGGCAGAAGGCTAGTCTGTGACCGAACAGTTCAGCCTAAATTTTATTTGTGTTTGATGCCTTCTGAATTGCATTTGGAGAGCTGAAGTAGGTGGAAGCTGATTGAGAGGAGCAGAGAGAATTGTTTGATGTTAGCTCTTTAAAGTTGAATACTTGTTAGGTTTTTCAAAATATGCATTAAATATTTCAGCACAACATTATTAAAGAAACCAGGAAATAAACCCTACCCTGAGGGAGAATGCACAAAGTTCTATTTTGTATTGTAGTACTAAGTTACCTTCCAGGAAGCTACTTGCTTTTCCGTATCTTCAGATACAGCTCTTCTCACAAAAACAGTACTCTTGCTGAATCAGTAAGTTTGACCTGACTAGTTCTTCATTGCAAAATTATCCATGTAGATCATATTTTATAAAAATATGATTTCACGGAAATTACTATATGAAATTACAAAAAGGCAGCAACCTCATATGTACTGTTTATTTTATTTTCAGTGGTGAATGTCACTGTGAATTACAAATTACTCTTGAGTCTTTCATGAGAAAGGAGTGACTCTCATCTGTCCCTTAAGTGGACCTGAAACTTCTCCAAAGCATACATTCACACCTCATATTCACTGTCTGGATCTATCCATAGTCAAAAGTCCCAGAAACACTCTCTCTCTTTATCATTATCAGTATTAGTGAATTTATATAAAAAAAATATTTAAAGACTTGGGATTAGATATACATAGATACATAATGCCTGGGCTAATAAGGAAATATGGCCTGCTCTGAAAAACCTGCAGTGTAAGTATATGTTGAGAATTGAAATATGAAAATAAGTAACCTGGTGTATTTGAACATGAAGAAAATAAGGTAAGCGTGATGAAAGGATTTTTTTCAGTCATAATTGATCAATACATTTAAATGTGTATGTTGGAATTTGGGAATAAAAGGGTCTAGTCAGCTACCTGACAATTCTGAGGCTTTTGCGATTTAATTCAGTCACAGTAAAATTAATCCAAACTTCGTGTACAAACAATGTGTTATAATGGTAGTTTAATAAGCAGCTTCAGTAGGGAAATGAGAAGGAGCTAAATATCCAAATTTCCATGGAAAATATTTATAAAACAAGATTTTAAAATCCTCTCCAGATTAATGATGTTTTTGCATTCATAAGAAGTAACTTCCTAAGTTAAATCAGACAGAAATGCACAAAAGGCCATACTTCTTTTTTCTATTATGTTCTGAGAACACAACATGGTCACTCAGACACCATGTCATTAAATATCTGCGCACCCTTCTTCAGCAAGCAATTTGGAAAAAACAAAGTAACCATTAGGTAATTGGAGCGGTCAAACTGTCACCAGTTGTATTTTTCACGTAACCGTTGGAAAAATGTTCAATTGAAAATCAGAAATAAATACAGGGTAATATAACTGTGTGTTCCGTAGGAAATATCTTTATGTAAGGGATGACATTTTCATCTCATTTGGGTTCAGAGCAGGCATCTGCAGCTTCTGTAGACATTGTTTTATGCCTCCTACTTTTAAATGTCAGTTTATCCCATCTTTTACATGGGCATCATCTGCCCACTTCTTAGACTTGTGCCTTTGCTGAGTTGTTTTGCAGTTACAGAGCTTGAGCATGGTTGGAATGTGGGACTGACAGTGACTGAGTCCCCAGAAAGAGTTGTGGAGCAGGCAGGTATGTCTGAGCTATGGATGAATCAGAGCTGCCCATACCTGGAAGCACTGCACATACTGAGGTGGCCACAGAGCTCACCCTGATGTCTTCTTTCCAGTACTGTATGGAGCAGAAAAGTGTCCACTCTCTGTGTTAAGGAGCACCATGTCCTCTGGGAACTTCCAGGTCTTTGGCAGTACTGATCAAAATGTCATCAATATGTTGAAGAGTTTTATAAAAATAAATTATCCTTATTTTTTTACTTTTCTCTATTCATTTGGTATATCTAAGGTAAGAGAATAACTTGGCATATGTTTGTTTTACTCAGTTACCTTTCCAAACTGTAGTTATAGAGTGTTTTTAGAGGTGAGGAGGACAAGCAAAGCATTCAGAAACATTTTGTTTGGGATGTTCTGTATTCTAATTGAAGTTGGATTGTACAGTATGAAGCAGTTGTTTTAATTCTTGTCTTAATTATTTTTATTCTGTCTTTCAGAGCTAGAGAGGATAGCAGTTTCTAATGATTGACTTTGGGAACAGTATTAGTACAGAACAGAGCTGTGGTCTGTGCTAGAGGAGTCTTAAAATAGGGTTAGTACAAAAAACCCTCATGTTGTGCTAGACTTCAGACTTCCACAGCAGAATTCATCAGAATAATTGGTGAAACATAATTCTCTATTTCGCTGCTTGTGTACATTTTAAACACCTGCTTATACAGGGCCCAATGAAAACAGCTTTGTATGAAAATCTGCTTTTGGTTGCTTGGACCTGAAGGTGACGTTTTTAGACCCTTGCAAGATGCTATAGCATAAATGGTGAAAGCTTCATTTAATTTTGTAAATGCATTTGTTAAGACTTGTGGGTTGCTCTTACGAAACACCTTGGCTTGCTTTCTTGCTTGCTTGCTGTGGGATGTAAAAATGCTTACGGTGGGAATTCACTGGAGGCTGCCAAGACAGCTCTTACCGTTTTGTGTTTATTTCCATCTAACCAGCTTATGAAACTGAAAAATAACAAGGGAACTGGAGTAGAGAGGACAAGGGAGCATTTTTGAACTCCCTGAGAGGATTTGTGGAAGAGTAATTCTAATCCTATTTTATCCTACTTTGCATTTTGAATGATGATGGAAGTAACCAAGTGGTTTGCAGCATAACCAGCCCAATACACAGTTTGCAGATGTTAATCATGCCACTAAGCATGAAGGGAAGTATGAAGAAAACTGATGGTAGATAAATTAGTGAATAAACTTCCAAACAGCATAGTATTCATTTAACCAGATGAAAATATTTTTTATTATATCAACTGTTCCTATTCCAGTGACAAGACAATATCCCCAGTAGTCCCTACTTCCTGGGGAATCTGGAGGTGGATAGTCATGGACAAGAATATTATCATAGGAATTTTACTGATAGAGATAAATGGAGTTTATGTAGATTTTACCAAAATCAGAAATGAAAGACAAGCCATTCTTACCCAAAGCAGTGTCTTCTAAGGTAACACGTAGAAACTGACAGAAGTACTTACTCCCTGTGGAGTGAGAGGGACTTTTTTTCATATGTTTGTATGAAGTTTCTGTCAGTACCTTTAGCTGAGTGCAAAGTGCAAAGATAGGGGAACAAACAGTCTGAAATTCACATTGTATTTAGGCAATGTGAATTCTTCTCATGTCTGTGGGCTTGTGTGTCATGCTTTGAAAGGTGCTTCTCCTTCCTCAAGCACTCTGTGAACTACCTCCTGTGTCTAAAAATATGTCCTAACTAGGAATTCTTCGCCCCGTTCAAAGCCTTGCAAGTCAGTGCAGATCAGGGTACAGAAATTTACCATTCTGTGATCAGGTAATGAGATTTTGTGGTTGATCTAGGAAAGAAAACTGTGTCTCTTTTAGGACAAACACCCCAAAATACTACCTTTCTTTAAAGTTCTTGCTAGCTGCTTGTCAAATTTTTGAGTGGAAGTTTAAAATTTGAGCTGTCAATGAGAGTGCTGTTCTCTTTAATCAAGCTGATTAAAAATTAGGAACACACCCATGGATTTTTCCTGACAAAGTCAAAAATGGGTATTTTCTGCTGCTCTTGATATCTCTTTCTCTCAAGTGATTTGTAACATATATATTGGGTCATGAATGTCCTTGAA